CGCCTGAGTGCAGACTTGCTGCTCCAAAATTCGTAGATTTTGACTTCTTTGTCCATTTTAGTACTCCTTATTATGCCGTCTCTCCTAATATTCAAAACAACACTAACAAAAACATAAAAAACATTCTATACTCATAAGATCTAGCAAATAATTAAGTTAAAATTGTGTAAAACTCATAATTAATATACACTCGTCAGTTGTCTTAAGTTGAGCTGACATTAATTACTCTAAAAAGTGGTTACTCCATGCTCTACGCTTGTCATCTAAAAAGTAGATTGAGAATTTACTTGAACAGTGTCTACTGTAAATATGTTAAATCGGTCATTCGCACAAAAAATATCTTTGGTGAAGAAAGCGTGGAAGATGAAAAAATAACAACAGAATTCTATTTGCTCAAATGAAAGAACAAAGAGAACTGAGATATCATGCCAACCTATTTAATTGTTTATCAAATGCATTTAAAAAAAAAAAAATTAGAAGCGAAGAAATTTCAAATAGAACACAACAAAAACTTGTGGATGATAATAAATTAAATTCTTTTTTCAATTAATTTTAAATTGACTATATAATTTTTGTAAAATGCTATGCAGCGCAAGTAATATTTAGCACTAATTTGTACGGCATTACATTGTCATTGAATTATATAGTAAAACCTTTATAAAATATTAATGTTAGGACCAATAAAAATTATTATTTTAGAAATTTATGGATGTCGAACATATTTTTAACTATTCTAGTGAAAATGATGCGATGATGGAATCTCCTACATACCGATGAAGATGTTATTCAAGAAGTACATATCACACGTATCAACGACGATCATGATCTAGATGATAGTTGTGTTTACCAATTACTTCTTATGCATTAGAGGGATTATTAATTTAGCACATTGGTCCAAATTGAGATCGAAGAATTTTATTATTTGAGTGAAATTATTAATTTATTGAACATTCATTTATTGAGATTTTACTGTAAGTCTAATTAATTAATGAGAGAGCTCCATTTTTTGTTAAAAAAAAAAAGAATAGAAAATGAAAAAATGAGTGTTGTAATATTATTTTTTTAAAGGAATTTTGTTTAAAAAATAGGTAAAAATTTTAGAGTTAGGTGTAGAATTATTTTATGTGGAGAATGTATACTTAAAATGAGTTTGACAAAAAATAAATTTAATTGGAGATGGTTGTTCAATTGGCTTTACTCATAATTTTTTCAAAATAAAAGTAATCTCTGGTTCTCACCAGGCCTCTTCCTTGTCCTGCATGTCTATGGTCATCATAGTGTAAACGGTTCAGTACGTACATTTAATTATTGAACACTGATCTAGTGTTGCAACCTACCCATATGAGTTTACACAATAAACAATCCAACTATTAAGAATTAAGCTAGATGTATATCCTTGTTGACAACAAGGATGACATCCTCGCCTATGTGGATGAAATCTGTACAGTGATGTGATGGATGGATTGAAAATCAAAAGTGTAGATCTTGTCATTTGGAAGAGTGTAAAAGAAGGTGTATATGATAGTGTACATATATTATGATTGAACTATTAACCTTATTTTTTCACCTTATAAATTCTATTCATAATTGGGCCCCATTTGGTACATATTAATGTAAAAATAAGAATGAAAAATATAACCGTTACGAATCCCACACAAGAGATAAAAAATCAAATATGGTGGCTTGATGTGATGGATAATAGTCATATTTTTCATTTTAATGAAAAAATAATGGAAAACAAACGGGGATGGAATGGACCAACTGCGTGGAACTAGGACAAGAAATCACAACCTTATCCGACTTGAAAAGCTTTTCTTAAAGGGTTATTCCACTTGTATATCAAGAAATGTACATTCAGGTTGGGGTTCAACATTTTTTTTAGAAATGTACATTAAGGTGTTCACTCCATTCACATGAACGGGACCCACTGTGAATAAAATATGTTTAATTTGGAGTAGAGACCCCCCCTCCATGTGAAGGGAGTTACATCAAGCATAACCCTTTCTCAAAATCACTCACGAATCTGAGGTCAAAATCAAATATGGATTAACACGGTAACTTAACGAATAATCCATGGGTACAATAATTACTAACAAAAATGATGCAGGTGTTGTGATGGCAGTATTTGTATGGTGCAATTTGTGTATTTGTTGAAAAACTGCAAAGTATTTTTCTGTAAGAACTTTGTCAATTTTTTCTATACTTGTAACAAAATTGAGGAGGTTATCGGGCCTCAAACTTAACTCCTTCAGCCCTATACAATTGCAGTTAGTGATGCCAATTCCACCAACACAATATCCATTCAGTATGATTAACTTGATGAACATGTATTATATAAAATGATTTCATAACGGTTTGTTTGGATATATTCCTAAATAATTAGTTACTTTATACTCAATTTATGGTTAAATAACCCCATTGGATTGGAAACAATAATTTTCAATCTCACAACTAAAGTAAAGAAAAAGGCAAAAAAGCAAGCACAATATGGCACTAAAAGAGGAAAATCATTTGGTTTACACTGTCTGCTTTATGACAAACCAAAAAGCACAGCCCATTGATTGAACGACAACAGTTCATCCGATCTCGGGTAAAACCCGATTCCCCCACCCGTCACCTTATTAAACCCGATTATACTTTGTACTCTATCACAAAGCAAGGAAGCACAGCCCTTGGATTAAATACCAATAATTCATCTTCATCGTCCAATCTTGGGGAAAACCCGGTTCCCCGGCCCACCAAGGAATCAAATCCTGGATCGTACTTATCAAACAAGACGGGATCACACCCGACCCGACCTGCTATAACCCGACAGACCAACATGGCGCGTTTCACGTGCATGAACTCGAACTCTCGTTCCATCTCCTCTGGGACTGCCACGTGCGCTCTCCAACTAGTAAGTAGCGTGGAAATCCCGTCCAACTTGGGTGAGAATCCACTCTGTATAATCCCGCAAACTCCGCAGTACAACTGATTGCATAAAGTGGAATTACCGTTTTGCCCCAGGTCACAAGTGTAAGTCGCACAGTGGAATCTCAGCAGTTCATTGCCATCAGCTATACATCGCTCGTCCCTGCTCTTTACGGCGCCGGTTTTAGCTGCCTTTGATTTCACGGATTCTCTGTAATCCTCGAACATGGCTAGTATTTTGGGACCGTTATGGATCTTAAGGATCCGATGGATAGTGGGTTCCTTTGCCTTATCGGGCCAACCCGTTTTGAATATTATCCGAACGATGTTCTTGCCCGTATCGCCATCGATGAGCTCTGAGACTGCATGCTTTGTAGACTGGTGGTGTTCAAGAATACTATATTTTTGGAAGATTTCGCCGCAAATTGGACATGGGTAGATGTTGTTAAGCAGAGGGAAGAATTGCTGATCGGAGGAGATATCGGATTCTGGTCGCTTCGAAACGAATGGATAGTCCGATACACGAGTTTCCGGCGGTCTGAATGGGACAATAATGGGTTGGTTTAATCGTAAGGAACGTGTGGAAGAGGATGGGGATGGGATTGAAGGAGCCTTAACTACTCGGAGTAGGCAGGAATTAGGCTTAGAGGAGAAGAGGCCTTTGATGAAGGACCAGGAAGAGGACAAAGCTTTCGGTGGGCTGAGTCTATGGTGGTTGACCTGGTGGTGATCATGAGAAAGCTTCCTTTTCCGGCGGTTTTGGCGATTGTGGGAGGAGGAGAAGATGAAGCAGCCTAGGTAGAGGAAGAGGAGGATAAAAAAGGAGAAAAATGGGCGGAATTGGAAGTTAGCCATTATAGATATGATGTATCATGGCAATGACATGAACTGTGATGGTGGAAAGAAGGGTTTGTGAACTATGAAAGAATGATGAGAGAAAGGAGAAGAAATGTAAAAGAAGAGAGAGGGTGGGGACGTGGAAGAATAAAGCTAATGGTTGGTGGAAAGCAACTTCATGGCATCTCTTCTTCTATACCGACATGCCCGTAAAATTTAGGTGTTTTATATATATACGGGGTGTTTGAGCCACGTTATTTTGGTAATAATGTATTTTTGAATAGTGTATTGATGGAAAATGTGTGGTTAAAAAATAAAGAAAAATTTTTGAGTGTAATATTATTTTATTGAAAAATGTGTGGTTGAAATGATGTCAAATCACTGTTTAAGAATGTATTTTTTTGAAAGAATGTGTGATTGAAATGTTTTTTTTTTTTTTAATTATGATGGGGGAACCCAGCTCCTTCGGATACGCAATGGGTAAACCCTTGGGCTGACGCATAATTTTTTTAATTTTTTTATTTTACAGCTTAATTTTGTTTTTGTTTAATTTGATCTCATTTGGATAATTCTGTTCAATTTTATCACTTTAATATGCTAAAATCGATGATGTGAACATCAATATTTGATGTCATCAGATATTTAGGCCCCTATTTGGTACCGTTAAAAATTTAGATTAAAATCTAAATTAAAGTTAAAATTTAATTTTAATTTTAATTACATTAAGAACCCATAACTTTTCAATTATACATTTAATTAACTTTTATCAAAATTTACTAAAGATCTTATTTTAATCTATATAGTTTGAGAGCTTAATTCTATATGCACTAATGTGACATTTAGATGTCTTTATTTAATTGATGAATAATACTATTTAGCCATACTGAGAATATAATTTCAGTCAATTTTAATGTCATATTAGATCGATATGGATTGAAGTTATAATTTTAGTGAGGCTAAATAATATTACTTTTACTTGATTTATAATCTTAAATCTGGGATTTAAGATCTCAGATTAATTAACGACACATCATCGATGATTGGTAAGTATCGCAAATAGAGTTATATGTACAAATTAGTGACGAGCCTTATTTAAAGACATTAAATGATATGGTGTTTTCATATTCATGTGTTTAATTAATCTTATATTTTTGACTAATGTTATTTAGTTCCACTAGAATCGCATATTAAATTATAATTGGAATTAAATCTCATTTAATTTTATCTTTTATTTAACCTATCATCTAGCACAACCTAAATTGAGATTGCAATCTCACTGAAGCTACGTAGAATTACTATATCTTTTTAACTCACACCGCATGTCACATATTTCCAAACATACTAAACTAAACTAAAGTATAATTAATTTAACAAAATTCAAGTATTACTTACCCATTGAATCTACATTTTTTTTTTTAATTCCGACTTATTAGGTGCTTGTTTGGTAAAACTTTTGTTTATTAAAAAAGTTTTCTAATTTGGTCCAACGTCATTTTTAATCATACATTTAATTGAATCCAGAAGTTTCATATACTTTTCACCATACATTTCATGAGATCCATCACCTTTTTTCAGCTGCTAGCAACGTCACACAACTTCTAAGAATTATTTTTAACAACCTTAGTCAATGAGTATAGTTAATGTAAATAGCAAAATCTTGATCGGAAAAAAGGGCCGTGACAATTGAACCACCAACAATTAAGGGATCACAATTTAGGATATGTATTTCTTATTGTCCTTGTCATTTTAAAGACACGACAATTAAAGCATACACTTTTAATATATTATTTTAGTGTAATATTATAATTAATTAGACAAAGATAGAGCTTGATTGGCATAGTTAACCTATTTTATTCATTAAACTAAAATATAAACACTCCAATCCAAGATTACTATATAAATATATAATTTTTATTTCACCACTTTATCTCCACTAAAAAATTCTAATGCTTCTAATGCACATAAAGAATCATTTTAACAATAAAATATTTCAACATTAAAGTATACAGAGACTTAGATCGATTGCCAAATGCAAAGTTTTAACAGGTCATTGTTTTAGGGTCGAGCTTCATTTGAGGGAAGGATAAAAAAATAAAAAATAAAAAAATAAAAAAAAAATTATATAGTAAAAATGAAAGGGGAATATGTTTTATCAGCGAGTTTGCCCAGGTTTTAAAGAAAGTTAAATATTACCAGTGATGACTTCGACAGCAGTGGTATACAAGTTGTGCGTTAATCGATGGTGTAACACTAAATGTTACAAGTGGTACAAGTAGCAACGACCGCAATAGAAATGAAAATAGAAGGCAAATTATGTAAAATACATTGTGTTAGAAACAGTGACGACAATAACAATGATAGACCATCCTACAAAATGTAACATCGTGTTACAAAATTTGTTGTAAAATTATTAAATAAAATATATTAATAAATTATATATTGAGAAATAAAGAATTTAAAAGTAAATATGAAATTAGTAAACTATTTAAAGATATTTATAAATTGTTTCCTTTAATTAAAGAGCATTATAAAGTCTGTGTTTACCCGTAGCTTTATAATAAGTAATGTGGTAATTACACAAAACTCTAGAGTTAAAAACTCGGGTTCAAAAATCATATGAGTAGTTTAATAGTTCAAAAATCAGATTTTCATATTTAAATTAAATACCAATTACACCCGAATTTCATTCCAATTTGTCTTCTCTCTCTATCAATTATAATCAATTCTCTCTCTCTCTCCATCTCCTTCTCTCTCCTCAAACTCTCCCCACCCGTCTCTCTCTCTCTCTGTAGCAACTCAAGAAAGGTTTAGGACGTGATGCTTCTATTTTCACTCTCTCCACCCGAATTCAACTTCATCGGCAGCTTCATCCCCAGGTTGTGCCGTCTCTTCCAGTTGGTAGCGTAGCGATCTATGACCTCATCTTCACTGGCGGCTACAGTGTGCATCTCGCTCGAGTCTCAACTATCTGTCTCCGCCACTGATTTCTATGGCTGTGGATCTGTCGTCGACGTGGTGGATTTGTGGGTGTTGGCCGATGATATTGGATCTCTAATTTTGGATTAATTTTTTGGATCTGTAATGCGCCAGTGGTGGCATTGGGCGAATGAGTTTTGATTTTGGTTCTAACATTGGGTTGGAGGAGAATAGGGAGGAGGACAATGGTGGTTGTGTGTCGGATGGCATGGGTGACCCGATTTGGATTTTTTTTTTTAATTGTTTTGGTGATTAGTTCCTATTAATGTGGTGGTGGTTCCAATAGTAAGGGATGGCCGGTGGTGTTATAGTTGCTGTGGTGGTTTTACCCATGATGGTGTTGGTGTTGTGTGGCGATGGTGATTCTAGCAGCGACACTGTTGTAGGCGGAGGTTGTCACAAGTGTTGGTGATGGTCATATGGTCACAGATTATTTGGTGGATTGTGATAATTAAATTGATTAATCTATGACCAATAGAGACCGATGAAGAAGATAAATTGTGACGAATGTGACCAAAAAAAATATCAATTGGTGACCGTTTAATGACCGTGACCAATACATAAATTGTGACGTATTAATTTTCGATCTGTAATCGATAAACAAATTGTGACCTATGAATTTTTTTAATTGTGACCGTAAAATAATTTGTAATATTTAAAAATGATGATTTCTGATCGAAAAATAATATATGACTAATTAAATTATGAATCTGTGACCAAATGTATAGATATGTGACCTTAATGTATGACAAAATTAAATAAATTGGATACTAATTCAACCATTAAATCTGCAATTTTTTCCTCAATCGTGAATAATTGTCTTCTGTTGCGTGAATAATTGTGTATGTTTGGGATAAATATGTATTTTAAGGAATTTGTTCAAGTATGGAAACTGGATGCTTAATTTTAGGGATTTAATTGCAACAAAATCCTCTCTCTCTCTCTCTCTCTCTCTCTCTCTCTCTCTCTCTTTGTCTCTCTCTTAGTTTTGAAATTAAAAACTTGTCATCTTAAAACTAAAATATAGCATAGTTAATGTAGGGATTATGAAATGATGAAATTACAGCCACCGAGGTAATTTAAGTTCATATTTCATTATTAAGTAATTAGGTTTCATAATTCAGAAATCAGGTCGTAATTAATTATTCATCAACATTTTAATATATTTATGATCTCTAACCGTTCCCACTTTTTACGTCAATAGTAGAGAGAGAAAATTTTTAAATAAGGGAAAGAAATCTTTCTAAACCGTTCAACCGCACTCCACATCCCTCAATGATCAACCGTGATATAAGATATTTACCCTAAATCTTAAACCGTCTTCATCTATCTTTCCTTATCGTGACCCGAAGTTGAACAAAGCACTGCAAGGCTTTGGCAATGGCAAAAACCCGAAGTTGTGATCGGAAATCACAAAAAAAAAAATCGTCCCTCTGCAAGCCATCAACCAAACGCCAGAAGTCCACAAGTCGGCAAACGTGTCCGTAATGAAACCCCGAAAACCTCAACTGGGCCTCGAAGATGAAAATCGAACAATGTAAATGTTCTCTGTAGTCTATTGAGTTAAATGAGCACATGGGTAAATGATTTTTGAACTCCCTAAGTGACTGTGAACGGAGTATTGTGGTATTGATCCAAAATTTTCATTTTATGACATGGTTTATTAGTAATTCTTGTATGACTATTTTTCAATTTCAAATGTGACTCAACGGTTTCAATTGAACTGTGGTTGTGACCTGTGGGTTTGTGACCTGTGGTTTTGTGTGGGTTTGTGACCATTTTCTGAACTCGCTAAATGGTTGTGACCATTTTTTGTCCTATGCAGATTTGTGACTATGGAATTTTGTAATCCTTGTGTGGCCATTTTCAATTTCAAATGTGACTCAATGGTTTCAAGTGACCTATGGTTGTGACCTGTGGGTTGGACTTGTGGTTGTGACCTATAGGTTTGCATGGGTTTGTGACCATTTTTTGAACTCACTAAATTGTTGTAACCTGTGGGTTTGTGACCATTTTTGTCTAATGCAGATTTGTGACTATGTAAACTGGCCCATGTTTTTGTAAATGTTTTGAGTGATTTTTGAAATCATAATGGTAACACGTGTTACAATTTTTCAAATACACTTGTGACTCCATGAGTGTGTTGTGAGAAATGGTTGTGATCTATGTGATTGTATGTTTTTATGTCTGGATTTACATGTGTGCATGATAAAGGTTTTTGAC